TGATTAGGACAAAAACAAACACCTAAAATAAGACAAAACTGTTGTCAGGATAAATCAGAAAAGGTCAAACCAGCAGCAGAAGATAAAAACTATCAGCTTTGCCTCATTTCAGTTGATAAATCAATTATTTTTATGGTGGTTTAGTCACGTTGGAAAAAAAATCGAAATCTACTTAAGTAATTTTTCCATAAAATAAGTGCATTTGTTCTTGAACTGAGGAGGTAAAAGAGACATTTGCCAATGGAACAAGACAATTTACACTTAAAATAAGAAAACACTATTGCATTGTCGTATTTAAAGTGCATAATATCTAATTGTCTTATTTTAAGAATAAAAGTACTAATTCCATTGGCAAACTACCTCATTAACCTACTTAAATTAAGGGTAAATACACTTAATATAAGAATTTTTTTGTTATTTCTAGATCGTTTTTCCATTGCAGCAGCTTTACACTGCAAAAACAATCTAGAAATAACTAAAATCGTCTTAATGTTAAGTGTATTTACCCCTAATTTGAGTAGGTAAAGTTCACAGCAAATATTTCAAGTTGTTTCATATTTTCTGCTAAAGTCTGGAGCTCTGAGCTTATAATGGTGGACGGACGTCCAGGGAGACGTTTCTAACATAAACATGGCCGCTCATCAGATCTGCGCCTGTTTCGATCAGTGCGCCGCATTTCATTATTCATTTTTAGAAAATTCTTCGAAAACAAATGAAACTTTTTATTTCCAGTTTTGAGGATATAAATTGTAATTTAAACAGTAATTAATTTGCTCCAGACGTGACTTCAAACAGGTAAATTATCTCATTTACACTGGAAAAAATCCAAATCTAGATAAGTAATTTTTTCTTAAATTAGTGAATTTTTCTTGGATTGAGGAGGTAAAAGAGACACTTTGCCAATGGAACAACATAATTTACACTTAAAATAAGAAAACATAATTGCATTGTCTTATTTCAAGTGCATATTATCTAATTATCTAATTTTAAGAGGAAAAATACTCATTCCATTGGCAAACTATCTCATTTACCTCCTCAAATTAAGGGTGAATACAGTTAATTTAAGACATTTTTACTTATTTCTAGATCTTTTTTCCAGTGTACCTACTTATTAAGGGTAAATACACTTAATTTAAGAAATCTTTTCTCATTTCTAGATCATTTTCCAGTGTTGGACTCATTATGCAAAGTTTCTTCCATTTCCCATTCAGACCATCTGGAAGTTCAAACCTTCAGTGAGAAAAGAAACGCTAAAGTCACAGATCATT